CGATTCGCTTTGGGTTTCAGTGGCTGAGTGAATAACGCGATGGTGTTTGAAGCGAATCCTACTGGGTTCGAGTCCTAGAGTGAACATCAACTCTGAGATGCAGGTACATCCAGCTGACGAGTCCCAAATAGGACGAAACGCGCGTCCTGCATTCCACTGCTAGCCACTATCCATCATTGCTTACAAAAAACATTTAGTTTTAATATAAAAATCTACTTTGTTTTTTTATAAGGTATAGATTAGGCCCAACTCTATCTTCTAGATTTAGCATACAGCTGATATTTTTCAAGGATATGTATGGCAACTTTGTGACTGATTATACAAAAAAAAATGGTTAAAATAATTTATATTTTGTAAAGAATTAAGTTTTCTTTCCGAAAGCTGAACTACTACATCAGCAGAATATTTGGAGTATAATTAATAATAGGAAAACAATATTTCATTAATTTCACTGATTACAAAGTTTATACAAGAAAATTACTGTTTTGCAAGTGATCACAGATCATCAGTTCAGGTCCAATAGAACAGACCATATTAAATTAACCTCAACATTCTAGAGGAATGATACCAACTATTTAACAAATGCTTTTCCGTTTATCGATCCTATCCACTTCTAAGATGGTCAGTCTAAGAACTAGGTAGACTTCTGTTCTGAGGTTGGAAATATATTTCTGGAATATAAACATTCTAAACTAAATTAAAAGTAATTTATTGAGATAAAAAAAGACAGCTCATAAGATTTAAGCCACTAAAAAGGATGGTAGAATGAATTCATATTTAAAAATGAAATGATTTGTTGTACTCAAATTTTAAATCAAGATTTTGAGCATGGTTTTTTGAAATAAAAGAAAAAAAGATATTTACTCGTTTGGGTATATTGATAATTCAGTTTTTAAGGTAAATTGTTCTGTTTCTGATAGCTTTTTAAGTGTATCTAACCTTAAAAACTAAAATGACTTAATGACGAAGCATTTTGTGTGTTTCTGTTTTCGACAGGTGAATTAATTTATCTATTATGATATAATCAAATATTTTAAGTGAAATAAAATTCAAATATTGAGATGCTGGAGAAGATTTGTAGCTAAGGTGAATGATTTTGATGGAGTTTTGTTCTCTGAGCTGGATGGTTTGGTCGAATTCATTAACAATACTATTTTTAAGAACATAATTGTAAAGAAATATCATATATGATGAATAGTAGCAGGCAATAAGGCTTATGAAGTGAATATCGTCTTATTTGAGGCTCGTCTGCTGGATATAACTCTATCATAATATTGATGCTAATAAGAAGTCTTGAATTTGATAATATACAAAAAAAGGATAAACGTGAAAGGGAAAATCTATTTGACTAATTACGGTGAATCTCAAAAGCCATTCACCTTTAAGATCCAAAAACAGTATAGGTGTGAAAATTTAATTTGGAAAATAGTTCATAAGCATGTTGATTCTAGTTCCATTTGGTAAAGGTTATCCAATCAAACATCATTGTTCGTTTTATGAATATTATTTCAAAGGTCTACATTTACTTCTGTATATGTAAAATAAATCTAACTTTTCGGTTAGTTATTTATGATGCTTTTAAAACTGATTATCAATAAATATACCAGCTATAGTGAAAATGTCCATTTTGATATTTGTCAAAAAAGAAATAACGAATCGAGCGATTAAATTTCTTCTGAGTTAGTTTTTCATCATGGTTCTACACTAATATATATGACGTATAACAATGAAATAATATCAGAAGGAGGTATTGTGGAGATTTTAGTAATTTTATGGTTGAATTCATGAGTTAATTGAAGCTAAACCACCATGGAAAATCTGAAAGCATTGGACGGCCGTTTCGTCCATTTATGGGACTCCTCAGCAGTTAGCATCCACAATCCCGAACTGAGAGGTTCGAACCCGGGATTCAATTTCATGGATTGGTTGAAGTTAGATATTAACACGGTTGGATACCAGGTCAGTGATTTGGAGGTTAGGCGTTCGCGCGCGAGACTGATAGTATACATATAGACAAACTTTGTCTTTTATTCACAATATCTAGTCAACCATTTCAAAGCATTACAAAATGTATGAATATTTACTTATCTGCTTACATAAATGTATCACAGGGAAATGAGCAAACATTCAAAAGTGAAACAACTCTCATTTAATATAATGAACAAACACTAACAATTTTCACTGGTTGTTGTTTCACCTGGAGAAAGAAAAATATCTTATTTCAGTTTAGTCTAATAACTCCACTGAGAAGAACACTTAGTTCATGTGAACCAAGTATTAGTTGACTTTCTAAATTGAAATTAAGTCATCCATTGTGTCGTTGAATGCAAATCAAGAGAATTGAATGAAGAAAATTTTCTTTTCAATGGAATCATTTATTTAATATGGTAGTTATGCAAGAATGAAGGGACGAATGTTGAGAATAAATAAAATACAAGAAATGGGAGGAACACGAAAATAGTTTGTTAAAGTTCTGTCATTAACTCACTCCTATACCGACGACCAAGATATTGAGAGTGGTTGTACAAACTTCATTTTGGTGTGAAGGTTTGGTTTGTGAACATGGATTTCAATTGGTTCAAAATGTGCAGAAGATGAACTCGTAAGCTCTGTGAGAAATTTAATGGAATATTGTGTATATTCTTATAGACTTTTTTCAATTCAACTTGATGAGCTGTATCGACCAAGTGAGAGACAACAGAACTCTTAATTCATGTTCACAAACCGAAGCTTCGCATCAAAATAAGTTTGTGTAACCACTCTAGCTACCGCTGTTTCCGGTATAGGAGTGAGTTTGTAACAGGACATTGATAAAACCCACTCCTTTAAAAATATTTAAACTTTTTTCGAATTACTCCTACTTTCGTATTTTACCTATTCTCAACATTCGTCTCTTGACTCTTACATAACTACTATAATACTGACCTTTCACCAAAATATTTTATATTTTCTCTATATTATGTAACATAGCAACTGTTTGATTTCTGAATAATTACTTTGATTATTATAATTCTCTCAATGTTATTTTATGATCGATATATCATTATATAATGATTACGTAACGTAACTATTCGATGAGTGTTATTTCGTTGATGCAAGTCATATATATATATATATATATATATATATATATATATATATATATATATATATATATATATATATATATATATATATAGAGCCATAATGAAAAACTAACTAAATACCAAGTTTTCTATGGTGGTCTATCTTTAATCGGCTCATGAATTCAACTATTAAATTACTACAATCTACAGAACCCCCGATTCCGAAAACATCAGTTAGTCAACACTTTAAAATCCAACAGATAACATAGCTAGCAGCAAAACTGAGATGTTGTATTAAAGGATGATATATGAACAACAGATGTAAAACAATAAAGAAATGAATAGTCATAGTAATTATGTTATATGATGGGCAAATAATTGAGCTTGTCTGTAGGATCTCAAGAGTATTAGTTCGTAAACAACCTATGGAGTCTGAATCTAGTAAATATTTGTGTTTAATAATAAATTTTAATTATCCTTATTTTGTGTGATATTCTAATCATGAGTTCGTTATTGTTTAAGATAAAAGGACACATTTTTCTGACCAGTTATTCGTTCATTACAGGGTCGCGACAATTACTCGGCATTGTACATAATAATCACTCAGACAATTGAGTACACATACCTAGAAATCTATTATTTTGTTTGTCCTTTATAACATAATGTAAGAACAGAAGGATAAAAAAGGTTTGGAAAACGGATGACAGTCAGATAATTCGAATTATATGTTAATGAAGACAATGTAGACTGAAATGTAGGGGAATTAAAGATAATGTTACTATAAAATGAGCATCCGATCATATTTAAATTAGAAGTACGTATCTGATTCAAAGTCCAAGACGATGTAATGTGTAACAAAACCTTACATCCGATACTTAAGTTTCAAAAAGATATAGCTAGTAATATTTTAATGCACCGATCTAGTAGATTTATCGAAATGAAGGTAAATGTCGTTAAATTACCGTCAACTTCTAAACCAAGTCTTTAAGGATTTAATCATGTAGGACTAAATTACCAATGAATATCTCACAAATGTGCGCCTATGTATTTAATTGTTTCTGTGAAGCTAGTCACGTGAACAGATGGTCTTTTTCCTAAGTCCTGAAGAACATGTACTGGGTTGATTAGGAAAAATGGTTCATAGAATCTATAAATAATACCAAACTTTCTCATTTGATAAATAGTGAACGTCATATCAGAAAAAAAGAGTTTGTTTTCAATTATATACTAAGTCAAGGATTATTTGACAAAAGACTCAAGACTATGCCTATTTTATACAGAATAAAATATGGGGATTAAGTCACGAAAGTCAAATTAACGTACGTGTTTTCAAAAAAGAGATATTCAACCCATGTGTTTACTCTGGTTCAGAAGTGTTGTAACATTCATGATTGAATTAGCCTTGTTAGCGAAATATTACAAACTTACCTCCACTCCAACCATTTTTATTTGTACCTTTACGTTACTCCTCTCTATAAAATGTTCTTAATTTCATATTCACATTTCTTAGTCCACATAATATTCCGTTTAGTCATCAATAACAACTACTATAAAGAATTTATTTTATGACCAAATGATTCTATTCTATCTACCAGAAATTTCTAATGATACATTTTCTCAGTATATTGAGCACAACTGACTTGAGATCAACTAATTTCAATAAGAACACTAATTCAGTTACTGTATGTGGTTAATCACAACACACGACCGATTTATAGCAGTATAGCCTAGAGATGAACTTATTGAAATTAATTATGTGTGAATATTATTATTAATATGGAAGATTTTACAAAATTGACAAATTTGTATTTTGGATCACGAACTGGCTTCAACTAAATAAGCACTGAAAATTAGGGGACACCTGACAGCTGTTTATTCTTAGTATTGTTCTCTTTAGCAGTCTCTGATAACAAAAATTGACTGAGGTTAGAGATGTAAATCAACTGAGGGCTCCGAATTCTACCCCTGACTTGATTGTTTATGGGCACTGCGAAAGTCCTAGATGTTCGATTTTTCTTGGTTTCGAACAATACTTGATCATAAAAGTTATATCGGTAACTCAAAGTTAGTTGTTCATCTTACTAAATTACAATTTTCAAAGTTAATGTACATTTAGAAAACAATAACTAGTATTCTCTTCTGGATTGGTTTAATGGTTTCTGAACACAAAAAATAGATTTTATCATCTAATGAAATTCAATTAAATATCTTAAATATCCACTCAGTGCTGTCATTGCTACACTTGTCCTATGTGATAGACACGCTTGTTGACCATCGGATAAAAGTTGTTCTGAACGTCTTCTACGCTTATAATGTCCATATACATTGGGATCAAAATTTTCTGGATTCATTTCTTCTTTATCGAATTTATGATAACAACCCATGATATTTTGCCATGAAATAATTTTCATTAACCAATCAATTTTACAGATTTGCCAAAATCCTGCTAAACCACAAAATCCAACTGAAAATAAATAACAAAGAAAGTGAAAACTTTCAGTTAATACTATTCACCAGTAATTGATTTATCTGTTTAAAGGAGAATTCAATATTTTCGTATCTGATTGATATAACATTGAATCTACTTATAAACAAACTACTTTGACATAAATCACTCTATATGAAAGATAATAAATTATCCATTGTTACGTGTACCTTGTATCTTGTGAGTAAATTCGACAATCATTCATCTTAACTATTACAAAATCTGGGATTTCAATAAACTTAAGATACGAATGATAAAACATACGCTGCATCTAAAAGTCATAGATTTATATTGAAATTATTGTGGTTACAGACTTGATAAATAGTTTGTAGCAAATCTGTAATCACGCGCCTCCATGATTTGTTCTAACCTTTTTATAGTCTTACTATGGATGAAATATCCAGCATGTCTGACTTGGAGAATTACTCAAGTGTAATCTTGAACGTGCTCTGATCATATGTATATATGCTAGCGCGGATGTTCGCATGCTTACCTGTATCTCTTTTATGTTTATAAAGACTGAGTCACCTATTACTTACGCAGTTGGCATGCCTACCATCTTCGATTCGCTTTGTTTTCCCCCTTTTCAACTTAATGTCTATCTGAGTATGAAATAAATCCAAATCAATCCGTATTTGGCTTCTTCATATGATGGAATAACAAAAAGGAAAAATCAGATTTCGACTTCTGTTTTCAATTTAATGTGAGATTACTTAGTGTAATATTTGTTTTATTTGCAGAGTTATATTTTATTCTGTATAACATTAATTTCTTTGAGTGTGATGTTTATTGAATACGCAATATTCTTTGTGTTGAATTAACATGGACTATGCTCAGTGATTTCGTTCTAATTTATAATCAAAACGGGTGCATAATGAGTGTATTTTCGACTAAGGTCGTCGTCTTGTTTTTACTCGAACCAGTCTTAGCGTCATGCGAATTGCAGTGGTTCCTTTTTATCAAGTATAAGTAATGAGATGCGCGGACACAACATTTCGTATTACAGCCGTTGCTCAAACAGAGTCAGCCTAGGTGTTATACACAGAATTAAACGGGAGATTTATGTTCACGACATATTCATTTATTCATCTGAATCGAAGTCAAATTTCGGGCTATTACAAGCTAAATTAGTGCTCAAAGTTTGTTAACTATGCTGTATTTCATGTTTTAACACCGATTTCATAAACTCATACTGTCCTACAGAGCTTATATCTTTAGTGATCACAACCATATCAATAGCTGTGGTTTACATCTCACCATTTTTATGAAGTTTGGTTATTCCAGGTAGATGAATGTATCAAATATAAGCACATGGATACGAATGAAAATGTCTAAGCATCTGTTCTACAATTATTATTACTATTTAAACTCGGATTAATTTTAGTTTGGTTATTTATTCTCTGAAGAAGTGGCTTACACCTAGTCACGTAACGTCACAAAATCCGATCTTTCTTCTCATTGGGATATTACAAATATATTACTTATTTGCGACAATCTGCCCGATGCTCAAGTTATTCGAAATTATCAAATCAAACCTTGGTAATGATACTTATTATTAAACCCATCTACACAGGGCGTACAATTTAACAAATCCATCGTCGTGTAGCATTACACCATCCATCTTGTTTGAGTAAATGACAGTTAAGGTTTATCTGAAATTTTGTTATCGCTCAATTAGTAAAACAAAGTATTAAGTGAACTTCTAATGTTATCACATGTTATTCCATCAAATTTACCGCTTGGTTTACGTGTGAATCATCTACATACTTTTGAAGATATTGAAATTCATATTCATAGATCTAATCATCCCACTTGAAAGTAGTTTGTATAACCCCTCTCTCTATTTTGGCCACCAAAATAAGAGTAGCTCATAACTCAACTTTGTTTCACTTCATTCTATTCAACAATCTAATTTCTTTCACCTTTTGAATTTCTATACAATTTCGATATTCGTCTTTTGACTTTCACACAAAAATCGTGAAATTGATTTTTCTAAAATATTTTGCTTACATTATTACTAAATATTATGTGGTCTGGCAACCATTAAGTTACATGTTTTTTAATTTTTACAAGTAATTACCTTTTTAATTATAATTACAACATCCTCCTTCTATTCATTTGACACTATTTTCATATTCACTTATGAAACTATAAAATTATGCAACACTACTGCTCGATTTAAATGGGAATTTTCTATCTACTGAAACTTAAACTAGTCATCAATACACAATAACATGAAAACAAACCTTGTTCCATGAACAGATCCCTAAAATCAGTTGGAAAATTTTTACTGGCAATAATTTGAGCTTCAACTGCAACGTTTGTACATAACTGTTGCAAATATTTTTCAGTATTCATTCCCGGTTGATTGAATTTTAGAAGATAATCCAATGTTTCGCTACAATTAGTCTTCGTTACAAGATAAGTGAAAATGAAAAGTGGAAAACTCTTAGTATTCGGCTTGAAAAAAGCAACAAATTTTTGAATTAATTCGATATAAGATTACTGCAACACGAACTGGGTATAAATCAGGTGATTTTGTTAACGTCTTGGATTTGAGAAAATGGAGAGGACAAAATAAAAAATCTTAATAATCTCGATTTCAACCGTTTGTGAAGTTTTCAGCAAGAATCAGTGATGTGAATTAAACTATAACACGATTTATGTAAACCCTTATTCAAATTTCAATAGTTTTGTTAGGTATGGAGAGGAATATACCAATAATTATCGTGTTAAGTCGAATGGCGGCCTTGGACTTTAAATGTACACTCCCTATTGGTCGATATTTGTTTCACTTGTTAAATATTGTGTAAATGTTGTTTTCTATTTTATGGTACGATGTGGTCTGCTTGATTAGTATATAAACAGAGTGTGTTTGAAATATAATGATTCATAACTCAGAGGCTGTGACTTGCGCTCTAGACTCAACTGGCTGGGCTAGACAGGGAAGCGGGACCAATCGGGACTCTAGGTCGTCCTTACGTGTTTTACGTGTCACTGATTCGATCGATATAAATACGCGTTCCATCTACCTGCAGTCCATCCGTTACAACAAGTTTTGCAGCTAATGTCATTTTCTCTGAAGTTGAAATATTCACATAAATCAATCAAACTCACACAAATCTACCTATAACATGTTAGAAATTGTTAAATTTCGTTGAATGTGGTCAGAATTACTATGTTCTTTAACGAACCCAAGTTTCATTGTTCCTTCTCTATTTTAAGCCGAAAGGTCAAAGCTTAAATGTCTGATTCAGCATATCATGGCTTTCTATAAATATATTATATATGAGAATAATTACTGTATCAGAAACGTTTCCCAATGTTTATTGAGATTGATTAGATATTATTGATACTAACAATAGTCTACATACATGTATGAACATATTCTCACCTGTTTTCCAATCATAAAATAAAATACCTGGTGCGTAAGACCATATTCAGTTTCACTGTAATCAGTAGCTGACTTCCAGCATTGTTTTGAAATTTCACAGAAATCACCACTAAAAAATTTTACAAGGAAATTAGCAAAAGTTTGAATATGGTGATTTATGATGGTAAACTACATGACCGATAACAAGTGAATAATGTATAGACATTTGCATTCACACAATTGATAATGATATGTGAGATTTAGTTGAATTTTTCTGGTTTTTGATTATCATGATAGATAGCTTCAAAAATGTTTGCTAGTTGAGCTGAAACTTTGTCTTTACTAGCAGACTTCCGTGGTAAATCATCTGTTTGATGAGTTTGTTAAATGGCGCTTTCGCTTTATATTTAATTTTTCTTTCTGTGCAAATACATTATTTTCTCTCATATGATTTAATCAAGTGGTAATATTAATGAGAAACTATTTCAGTTTAAAAGAGCAGACGAACATATAAAGTTTTGAATTATCTATTTCAATAGTTTATTCTGCGAACTGATCATAATCAAATGTTCGTCAAAAATGTGGAAGTACTGAACAGCTATTTCGTCAAAAGTGTATATCTACGGTCGCACCATAAGCCGAAATCAGAACCATCAATCTCATACCCAAGCCTCTAACCTCTTGACCACTGATCCAGTATCTAGTGATATACATCTCTAACTCCAATCAATTCGCGATATTGTGCGACCATCTTTCAAGGCCTGCTGTGGATAACTGTCTCACATCTGGCATATTCGAACCCAACGTAAAGTTATATTTTAGACAAGTTTACTAGAAATATGGTATTCCCGTTAAACTCATCCTGGTATGCGGGTGTAGATAACTACTAAAATAATACATTTAGTTATAGTATAAGTATTCCTGACTGAAAATAAGGTGTAGATAGCAAATAAAATGAATCCACATATTTTGTTCTACACTTATTACTGATTGTGTTCAAGGCGATAGGTTTAAATTACGATTGCATGGTAAATTGACCAAAAAGTTGCACTTTATCACTTGATGTTCTTTTTGTTGCCCATTTACCGGTCTGATCGTATGATGATATTAACGAAATTCAGATGCTGCCTACCGTCACGCATATCTATTGACTTAATCCGCGTTAGAGAATAACGGGATAAATACGAGAATGAATTTTAGATACGTATATTTCATGCACCCGTTGATCCAGACAGAAAATCAAATAAACGAAGCGGAAAAGCAGACCAGAGAAGGCAAACATGTCAACTGGATTTGATCATGCGTGACTCAATGTCTATAGCCAGACAAAGATAAGCTGAAGACATGAGATGAATAGGGTTAGCAATCGATACATATACATTCATACAAAAACAATCGAGGTTATATTTTGATGGAGTTTTGTTCTCTGAACTGGATGGTTTGGTCGTGAAGGTTTCATCGTTATTCTGAATGAAATTGTCAGTACAAACTTCGGGTAGAAGTATGTTCGCAAACATAAATAACTTATGGTTCTACAAAACAATGGTGAAGTCATAAAACTAATCTAACCATAAATAATGATTCTACTAAATTCGGATCCACAAAATGTTATTAGAACTAATTTGAGTCAGTGAAAATCACATATACCCAGCTTAAAGTGTCCGTTATCACTTAAGTAAGTAGTTGCCATACTTAAAATATGTAAGATTTGACAATAAATTGACTGACAGTAAAAGGCTGGACTATTTCAGCTAAAACAAACGGACTTCGTTTGGACGATTTATTCCCTGAACAAGTGGCTTACAGTGAGTCGAGAGATTTTTAATCATCCGGATATATATATAATTTTTGTTTATTTTCACATATATAAGCTTAGAAATAAACTTATTTCATGGAGTTGGTATAAAAGCCGATCTCCAAGATTCAATTATTCACTCAAATAAATCCTTCCAGGATGTTTCGTATCTAGGTTGTTTGCTATAATAATTGTACAATGTGGTCAGCCTAAGTGTAAAGTATGAAGTTAACTGAGGAGTTATACCTCATCACTGCCGTCGTTCATAGTGTTGATAACGGCCATTTAAAAGCATATTTGACCTTTGAATTAGATTTTCAAACAGAAATTTTGTAGTTTTATCCCATACTTTACAGATGTCATGGTCAAAAGTAACGTGAACGTCGATGAAGATGGAATAAATGAAGCCATAAATTTCCTTATATAACGAGATGATTGAATTAAAAAGTCTCATACAGGAATATCAATAATTCGTATGAATATCCTGATATTGATGTGAATTAGAAACGTACGAGCGAAAGTAACTAAGCTGTTTTACTTCAAGAGATTGACAGTATGTTATAATTTCTGAAGTTATAAAGACTTGAAATAATGTAAACGAGTATTCACTATGACAATTGCGGTTTCATATTTTGATTCATGTCAATTACAATTCAGTTTAAATAGTGATAAATATTAAAATCAGAAGATCAACGATTCTAAAATATTGCTACAGTTTAAAATTAGAAAAATGAAAAAAAAATATTGAAACTCACACTGTCTTGTAAAGAAACTCTCTGAGACAATTATCACTTCTGTACTCTGTCCACGAATCGCTTTTGTACTTTGACTTGCGTACCAAAGAATAGTTTAGTATCGTGATCGGATAGAAACTATTCCATAGCTGCGGATCCAGCAAAAATCCTACACCTATAAAGTTAATTATAACAAACATACAACTAGGTGAAAAATATTTCGAAAATTCTTTGAAATACGTAAGGTTAAATAAACTGAATTTTTATGAAGTTGTTAGCAGAGTTTATGAAAAAAAAAGAAATAAATCTGTAGAGAATTTTGAATGTGATTTCTGTACTTTATTTCACGTGAAGAACGCCTGTCGATCTTCTAGGGTTACTGCCGGTCCCTAGCCTGGGTAAAAAAGCAGGGTCGGGCATGGGTCAGCAACCTCATACAGTAGAAAAACATCTTGCTAAAAGGAATGCCAAACAGAATAAACAAAATAAACAATTTAAAATTTGTCCTCCGAGTTGAACGATATTCAGTCAGATTACTTATGACTCCACAAGGTGAAGGTCGAGATTCTTCGGAAGTCAATGTCCATTAGCCAGATACCATCAACAAAAGCCTGATATGGGGGAGATCAAACCAACTTCCAGCTGAAGAGGAAATTAGGAAAAGACGATAGAGTTGGTGGATAGAGTATACATTGATGAAATCACCAAATGGCATCACGAAGCAAGCGCTTACCTGGAATCCTGTAGGGAAACGGAAAAGAAAAAGGTCGAAGAATACACTAAATCGAGAATTTCATTCGGATATGAGAAGGAGGAATAGCAACTAGAAAGGATTACCCAGAATTGGATTGAATGGAGAATGCTGGTGGGTAGCCATTGCTCCTCCACGTGGACCAACAGGCGTGAGTAAGTAATGTCGAAAATAAAATATTCCTAATAATAGTCTGTTAGAACTTCAAACGGCAGACATATTATAACTTTCTGATCCGTATAAGTGTGAATTTGTCATAAAATCCTATTATGTTATGGATAAATTTCATAACTACATTATGTTTTTACATGCAGAAGTTTGCCTACCCCTACTCGTTAGTTTCATATGTGTTAATGACACTGTAACTGTATATTGGACTTACTAATAAAATATTTCTTACATAGATTACAAATATATATCTATAATCATTGAACAAAATAGGATTGAAAATAAGAACAATGTAATTTCTAATTCATTTTTGTACATGATTCAGAAGCTTTGGGATTTTTTGTCTCTGACATATTTCAATTATTCAAAGAACTGTTATTAACCTTCTTAACTATGTAATGAATATAAATTTATAATCAATTACGGAAAATTGATCAGCTGACAATCAAAAGTTTAATAGAAAAGTTTCATGAAAATGTTTTTAGATTCTATTCAAAGGTTAATGGAATTGAGTCGGAAGTTGGTTATCTAGTTTATTGACGTCCAGGTAATGGCAATATGTTATGGTTATTACAATATAGAATTCTCGGAACATAATATTTAAAAAAACCTCTTATATCACGAAACATATAAAAATCCGCAAGCATATATATGCGAAATAAGTGAATACATTACATAAGAGTAAATGAAAAGTTTCTAAGAAAATAATTAAAAAAGAAAAACGATGCAACTGTGAATTAGCAACATAGTGAAGAATTAAGTTGAAACTTGTGAATATACCCACCACTTGTTAGAGTTACCACTAAAGGATCTCTCAATGATATACAAGCATCGTGGTGAAGGAGAACCCAAGTGAGAACAACGTGACTCCTACTCAGCACACAATTACAGTTACCTGGTAAAATAGAAAAACCATACTATAATACTTAATTTGCAAAATGTTCAATAATTGTCTCGAACTTCGTTGTTCTTGCATTTTCATGCTAATTGCTTTCTATTCCCGCTCTTCCTTCCTTGATCTTCCCCATTTTCTGCTGCCAGACATTACATTCCTGACTCGCGTCATATACTACTTATATCAATATAAGTAGCACGCACCACAGTACGATCATAAATGAAATATTTATTTCTTTTTCTCAGAAATAAATACTAAAGGAGGCAATACACAAATGTCTACATAGATCTAACATGATCGCTAACTACTTTAGAAAAAAGAATAACTTAAACCAAATGAATTTCATTGAATGATAAAGTAGATCTTTGTCTAAAAGAGTATATAGTTCATTCTCTAAAAAATAAAATATATGAAGATATAGTATTGATTAAACAGTTATAAAGGCCCAATATTAATATATATAGAAACTCTGAAAATTTCTTTTCGGCAATTGCCAAATGGTCAATGTCTAGTACCTTCACATTTTGTACTTATTCTATAAACTTTTTATGATAATTCTTATTAATTAGTTTTAGTATACATATTGAAAAACTTTGTCTTTTATTCACAATATCTAGTCAACCATTTCAAAGCATTACAAAATGTATGAATATTTATTTATCTGCTTACATAAATGTATCACAGGGAAATGAGCAAACATTCAAAAGTGAAACAACTCTCATTTAATATAATGAACAAACACTAACAATTTTCACTGGTTGTTGTTTCACCTGGAGAAAGAAAAATATCTTATTTCAGTTTAGTCTAATAACTCCACTGAGAAGAACACTTAGTTCATGTGAACCAAGTATTAGTTGACTTTCTAAATTGAAATTAAGTCATCCATTGTGTCGTTGAATGCAAATCAAGAGAATTGAATGAAGAAAATTTTCTTTTCAATGGAATCATTTATTTAATATGGTAGTTATGCAAGAATGAAGGGACGAATGTTGAGAATAAATAAAATACAAGAAATGGGAGGAACACGAAAATAGTTTGTTAAAGTTCTGTCATTAACTCACTCCTATACCGACGACCAAGATATTGAGAGTGGTTGTACAAACTTCATTTTGGTGTGAAGGTTTGGTTTGTGAACATGGATTTCAATTGGTTCAAAATGTGCAGAAGATGAACTCGTAAACTCTGTGAAAAATTTGGTGGAATATCGCGTATATTCTTATAGACTTTTTTCAATTCAACTTGATGAGCTGTATCGACCAAGTGAGGGACAATAGAAATCTTAATCACTCTTACATGTCGTTTGCTTAACCAAGACGGATGGTGTTCTGCTATGCGATAACGGACTTGCAGAATTGTACGCTCTATAGAACTGGCTCCACAGGAGCAGTTGAATTGGTAAATAAACATGGATGTGGCAAATTTAGGCAATCCTTCATTATTAAATGTTCTTATTATTGGAAGGGTTGTAGTAGACGACACTCAGTTTTTCCGTATCGCTTTTTTTAACTTATGTGTCACAATTTTCTACGTAGCATCATTTACCATTATTATTATTCAGCAAATGTGAAAATGTGAATTTCCATTTACATTGTACCTTCTTATTCATGGGTAAATATATAAGTCTATAAAAAGATAGAAGAGATTGCATCACAAAGTGATTCAAGACTCCAACTACCAAATGAGGTTGCGTAAAAAATCAAGGGGTTTGAAAAGAATAAGAGGACCAGAATAAGTTACGGGTCAGAGTTATAAGAGATAATTGTCCGTTTGACCAATATGAAGGGAAAAAATGAAAAAGCCTAAACGTCATAATAACAACTGAAAAATGGTCACTAAAGATTGTCAAAGGATAATAGTAACTGATTACGGTTCAAAATTACAAAACAATAATTTAAGAAAACCGAGACCAAAACATACCACAGAAAGGAATTAGGGCCAAAAATCGATAAGAGTTTGGATGTATCATTTTTGCAAATTTCTTGTAAGTCTCTTCTCAAGATCACTGAATCTAGCCGAATCTTAGCTATTTACCAAGTAGTGTAATCAAGCAGGTTAAGTGAAATAACGACCTGTAAATCCAATTGTTGTAAGTCTTAGATTTATAATTAAGGAGAATGGTTATTATATTTACAGGTGAGTTTTCGCTATCTCCAGTAACGTCTTTTCATTCTAGAAGTATAGTTAATACTAATGTAGATAACTTTCTACATAATCTCTTATTATGCATAGTTTATCATAATGGCATGAATTGTCAGTGATTAAACAAAAATTAGGTAAACACTATTGTTTATTTTACTTATGATGTAACAATGTTTTAGCTGGCAACAATAATAAACGATCTATGTTGTTAGATTTAGGGTTCACAACCAAGCCGAATAAGCATTTGAGTTTGAATAGATGCGAGACTGATAAGTTCGAAACATTTATGTTCAGTTTTAGAGCAATTTTGTTCATGGGACTAGATGTGTAATAAAACTGGATGATGCTTCTTTCATTAGATGTATATGTATCTTTACACCTTGTTGTAATCACGTCTAGAATTGTGGTTAGACATAAATAAGATAACAAATTGTGGAATTCTTTCTTAGTATGTTGTATTTTGATTAGCATATTATCCGAAGGATAGCAATATTTTGTTAGAAACTTTTAATATAAACGCTTTATCTCGGTGGTATTGTGGTGTGTGCTGCTTATGTCGACAAATATAAGTAGTATGCATCACTAATCGAAATTGGAGTGCCTGGCAGCAAAAGGTTGAAAAGATCGAATAGAAGAGAATAGGAACATAGAGTGATTGGTATGGAAATGAAGAAAAAAAAAAAGTCTGAGACAATTGATACATATTTTGCAAATGAAGTATTTACTGTATGATATTCACATTTTGCCAAATAACTCTTTGATTCTATGCTCAAATACGTTTAGCCGCCCACATCTGTGTTTTCGTTCGTTACAGTCTAATGTCAAATCATTCGTTGATTTAATTAGTAAATTTAAGCGAAGAACAATATATTTTTGAAAAATAGTTTAACTATTTAAAGTGTTGAATAACCAACTTTTGTTGTTGACTTAATTTAATTTTAATTTTATATCCATTTATCTTGTAACTTCATTTGGAAAAATCCCATTCAACTCCCATGATGCTATATTCTAATTTTACAAAAGTCATAAATTTGTAATAAAGTTGATATGCTATAAGACGGTGAATGGGAAACTATTTCAGTAGATCAAAGTCGTACATGGATCGTATAATGAAAAGTTATCTACATTATGCTTTACTTAAACGAACGTTTAACCGTTTATCAAATGTTATAACTTAGTTAGTAAAAGATGATATCATACTACATAGACTAAATAAACTGTT